AAAAAAAAAAAGAATTAAGTCACATAATAATTTTAAAACTTCTATTCAGTTTCTTTGGTAACAACATGATTTGTTGAATAATTATTGAATAAAACAATAATTTTTTTGAATTAAGAGGATATCATTGCCTCCAGGGAGGCAGCTCCGACTTATGGTCCGTTTATGACTTTTATTAATAAAATAATTTGAAAATTTTCAATTATTTAGTTTTTGAGTCATAATGAAAATTTTATTTTATTAAGTTACACTGGGTATTTGATTAAAAAAATTTATCTAGAAATATGATTTTAAAATCGTAAGACAATTTATGACATACATAATATACTGTACACAAAATATATTAGGCTCACTGGTCGTAAATGTTACTCATTTTAAACAATTCATTTAGTGAGCAAATATAATAAATAATCGAATATTTTCGGCACCGGTTACTTATAAATCTTAAAAGTTCGTTAAGGTTTTTACATCGTCAGAAGCGGGTTTTTTAAATTTTTAAAAAAGACATATACATTAAATTTTGGAGAATCAGCATGTATTTTAATTGAGGACCTCTTTTTTGATCACAAATTTTTTTTTAACAAGAAAAGAATATTTAAAAAATTTAACAATAGTCGGAAATTTTAGTTGAAGGTAATTCAACTTCCCCCAAACATTATTATTATTTGTAAAAGTGCAAAACTTGTGTAGTTTTAGTTTTGTTTTTTAAGGAATCTTTTCCATCACTCATGGTCTGAATCTTATTTTAGTATGTTTAGTATTGGTCTTGATTTTGCTGCTGTTTGTCTAGTTCTTGACTTGTAATTTTGCCAGTCTAAGATCAATTTTATTTATCACTTATCTACCTACTAATATAACACTATTATTTTTAATTCCCTTATTTACTAGTAATATTACTGTTATAATATAAGACTATAAATTATTTGTCACATTAAATTTGTATAATATTAATAATTCAAATTATATTTAAATTTAACCATAACACATTATTTATTGGAAATAATTAATCATTTACGGTTATTTTTTTATGTACAACTCGCAAAACAACTGGCACCCAATATTTAAAATGTTCTTGAACTTTGACGCACTAGTTGCGCTTTAATAATTCGTTTATTTTTCATGTCTCTATAAATTTGTCTTAAAAATGTTTGCTGCAAATAATACAATTCTTTAAAATATCTTTTCGTACTAAGCTATTATGCTAGTAAGGATGTGTTTTTTTTGGTGATTTATTTTTAGAAATCCTGAGTTGATTATTTTTCTTTTCTTACTCCATCTAACCATACCACCCAAATAGAATTAAAAGAGAATAGGGTGAAAAGTTAAAGAATTTACTTATGAAAAATGTATGTTAAAGTTGAAGACCTAAAAAATATGCATAATTTGTTCCCCAACGGAAGTAAACATGATTGGGAGGTAGTGTACTTTTTCGTATTAAAATTTTTGTTGGGCACCATAATTAAGCAGCGATACTTAAATTTGTAATAAAGAAATGTTCCATACTCATAGTTTATAATCATTAAACTAACATAATTGAATATGCTCTTAATAGTTATCGTATTAGACTTAGTAATCGGTTTTACGAGTTGATCAACTAAAAGATACGTTTACATGTTTTATTTGACTTTATTTTTTAAAAACCTTAAATGATCATATTTTATAAACTGAGAAATTGGTACCATTAAATAAATGAAACATATAATTATTAAATTTGCATTTAAACACTTATATGATCTATATTATTAATTAAAATTGTTAGAATTCTGAATCGTTTGAATTGTACATATATTAGTTACTTTTGGATTTCTTTATGATGCTTTGCTATCAATGTCGAATAACTCTTAGAATTCAATTTGAAAAACATTATATTTTAATTGTTTAAAAACATAAAAAATGTTTTTAAAAAACGTCTTTTGGTTAAAAATTGTCGATCGAGAAACACAACACTTGCCTGACGTCATGTGGCCGGTTTGCACGCGCAGCCCATCATTGGCCGGCGGCCATCTTGAAGGTACCCGGCTCCCAGTTTCCACTGTTCAGGCGGCCGCCCGTTTATATCTTCATTAGAACGACCCCGGCCATCGAGCGCCAGCCACGAGAAACAAAACAAATAAACAAAAAAAAATATTTTTCAGTGGCAGAGGGTTTTAATGTTTTTTTTCTATTAAGTTTTAATTGATAGCGGGATTTATCAAGAGTTCGGACATTTGCTTTAAGCGGTAAAATACATTTAGAGACCGTCAAATTTATTCCCATCGTCGTCGTTTTAACGGATTGTGCTTTACGCGCCACTTCTCATTTCGTTACAATTAATTGAATTATCGTCCTTGGACCTTTTCAACAAAAACGACAAGATTACTGACAACAAATGTAACCGCGTTCATGGAACTTTCGTGTAATGCTTTGAGAAATAGGTATGTACCGTAGTTAAGTTTTTTGAATTTCAGAAACTGCATTCTTAAAAAAAAAAAAAAATTCCAAATTTTCATATACATGTACTGGAAGTTTTTAACGTATAATTTTTTTTTTAATAGTGATCAAATTTTATATTCGTGTACGAATTTACAGTACGTTAAAATTATACTTTTTGTGTGTAAAATTAACGTGTACATTAAAAGTAAACTGTCGTATGGGAATTTTTGGATAATTTCTTACAGTGCAGTTCATTCTTTAAAAATAGTTCTGTGAAACCAAGGATTTTAGTACTCGAATAATTTTAAATTTTTAGTGACTAATATTTTTGATCTTTGCTATGTTATCAAAAATCATTTCCTCTTTATTTTTCACAAAAAACTTGTTGATTCATCTAAATTTTTTTTCTTAGAAATTAGTGACATTTAAAATATTCTCTAGTTATGAACTGGGATAAAATTAATTTTAAGTCAATATCCTCGATAAAAATAAGTATTTATTAAAAATAGTCAACTTACTGGAATGAAATTATAATTTTTTATATTCAATGAATTTTAAAATTATTTTTAAAAACTGAATATATGTGCATTCTAATTACTGAAAATAAATTCAAGTAAGTTTATAAAAAGCTTATTAAATGTAAACATTAGTTTTATCTACAATATTTACTCACCAGATTTAAACTGAAAATTTATTGAAGATAATTTAATAACCGTATTTAACCAATCATATTATTTAGTACAAAATTGAATATCTCATTGAAATATAAATTAGATAAGCTTAATCTTTTAAACCCAACACTATCAACCGCACTACACAGACTACTGTATGAGCACGTGAATCGGTTTTTGTTGATCCTTTGACTCTTCATCAAGAATCCTTTTTCTCTGTAAACTTCAAGGTCCTGTCTGAACAAGGACAAGACAAATCTTTTGTGTTGCATATTTTATGTATATTCATAAGGGTTGTTTGTACACGGAAGCAATATGCTTCCTCTAACATATCCACTACAGGTCATTATATAGAAATGGTCGTCCTTTGGAGGCCATGCACGCGAGAACCGCCATAAAAACTACCCTGTTCAATAGTGTTTTCATTAACAGGGGTCGCTATGGCTTCTGGTATGGTTCACGTGACCCAAACGTATACAATGTAAAGCATTAGAATTTCTATAATATTCAAAAAACCTGCAGTGTTCTAAATGTTTATTTTTTATGTAGCGAATAAAATTATTCCTCATTAATTTTTCATGAACAACCTGGAAGTATATTATTCACTTGCAGAAAAGTTTTACACGGAGATTCAACATGGTTTACATACAATTTATTTAAACAATAAACTCTAAGAAATTCTTTAATAATATTACACTGGTTTATTGAAAAAAAAAAAAATCAATTTTTGATGAATTTCCCGATAAAATCCGTTAAATTTTTGTTGACTTTATTAAGAAGCCATAAATTTATAACAATAATTTTTATATTGAAATTATTTCAGGATAAATATTTATCCTCACTCTTATTTTATACATCATCAGATATTGGTATCGATTACTTGTACAAGAACACATGGAACTATTACTAACACTTGTTTTGTAGTTTTTCGACGTAATATCTAGAAAATATTCAATAAAAATATTGAGTAACTTCTAAAATTTTGAAAATATTAACTTTGTTGTTATATTTCTGTGTTTGATTATAAATTTATTTATTAGTGTATAATAAATTAACTAACGGATATCATCATATAATATTTATTATCTTTCTAAATGAGAAATAAAGTGAATCATTTATTTATATTATTTACTAATCTTGATCTGTTGTGTACTACCCATTATTATAAAAACAAACAGAACATAATTAAAATAGTCACTGAAAACACTTAGCATTTTTTATATCTCAATTAATAATCGTTGCAAACAAAAATTAATTAAAATTATGAAAAAACGTGGTTTCTTAATGAGTAATTAGCCGTCATAACATTTATTCTAATTGCAGTAAAAAAAAAAACTAATACTATCTCAATTATAAAAAAGTATTAATTAATCTATTATAAAATTAACGTTAATTTATACAGTTTGTATTATTATTTAACAAGGTACAAAAATTAAATTTACTACTACTATTTATAAAAATTCATTCAGTATTAAATAAATTATTTTATGTTAGATAAATAATCAAATGATCACACATTGAAATTAATTAAAAAACTAAATTTATTCTATTACATGAGATATTGATTTCCCTATAGATTTTAATTCTACTATAGTCACGAATTTCAAAATAAATAAATCATACTATGATAAAAATATGATTATAATTAAATTATTATTATTATATGATATACTTATGTCCTTTAACAACTTATATTTTGAAATTGAAAATTATAAAAATTGAAAATTTCTTTCTAATATTTAATAACAGATTTCCCACTCAAAAATTAATAAGTTATTTAAAATTACTAAAAAAAAAATCTCATATACGTATTTCGGGAACAATATATCCATTATCAACGATAACTGGTATAATATTTCAATTTTATAATGTTAATATATACATTTGGTAAAAACGTTTTTTTATATCTGAGAATTTATAAAGAAACTAAATTCACAACAATAACGGTTGGGCATGATTTTAGAAATAAAGAGGTTAATATGGCCCTAAGTTAAAATATTTATACAAAACAATGATTTTTTTGGCTTATTTAAGTAACATTTATTTTTCAATTTTAAATTAGTTAAATAATTTTTATGTCCATTCTCATAAGGGTACCAACTTAATATTTTTAAATGAAAATATACGTACTTAACTAATTTATATAATAGAAAATGATCCAACTAAGAAAATGACTGCTCGTTAATAATTTTTCAAAAAGTAGTTTAGATGTTAGAAATATTTTTATACCTTGGTGAGAGGAGTATCGCAGCAGAGTGATTTAGTTAAGCAATAAACTTAACCAACACCACACTTCAGTCCGAAATTGAGAATGTTAATAACTTCTGAAAAACTGGATCAAAAGTTATTATAAACCATTTATTTTCTTTGTTAGATCATTATCAATTATATGAAATAATTAAATACGTATTTTGTTGTTTGAAAAAATTAATTTGGTATTCTTATAAAGTACATGGAATGGACATAAAAAGTGTATAACAACTTAAAAATTGACATATTATTACTACTCAAATAAGGCAAAATTTATTTATTTTTAATTACTAATATTTTAGAGGAAATTCAGTATTCAACGATAAATCAATCACTCAGTATAAGAGCGTATTAAAACTATGATAATTGCACGGAATAAATTAAGACCTACGACTATCATTTAACGTGAAAAAATTTCATATAAGATACGTGCGGCCAAAAAGGCCTAGTTAAGTTTGCACAAGGTGCCAGATTTTATTAAGCTTTGTATATGGTCGAGCTAGGTCAAATACAAGCTAGGCCTTATTAACCGTATCTACCTTACTTCTTTTTATTTATCCTTGACTTAATTATCATTTGATACCGTAAAATGTATATGAAAAAATTTAAATTCTTACAAACTTTAAAATACTTTACAATTTTAACTACAAAACATTAATCAGAAATGTTGGTATCAAATATTTTTAAAATGCATTCTACAAGTGGTTACTTTGAATTTTTTTTTATCATTTTACGTAAATTTGAAAAAATCTCATAAATAATTCACATAAGTGAAAATGTGTTATTTATTTTGTTAAAATTGTAGACTAAAAATATAGTAAAATAATATTACGTAAGGTATTTACATGCTAAAAAGTTATTTGATTTGTCATATTTTTGTAATTCTTTAATAATCTAACGTTTTATTTTATTTTTAAATTTTAAAGCAAATTTATTATACGATATTATTACCTGTCTGTCTCCCACTCAATCATTAAACAGATGAATTTTTCTACTGAACCATTTAGACTATATTCCGTTAAAATGTACTTATGTGTAATGTAAAGTTATAAACTACAGCCAATGGTCATTTTATTGCATTTTTTTTTTTATGTTAGGCAGTATAACTTTGTTAAACGCATATACTATGTGCTTGTGTATGAAAACCACACTTGTACCTCTAATGAGGATAAAATAAATTGTTTACCAACAATTCAATCTCATAACGTGTCTATAGAAATTAACATTATTAGCAAGTAGAAAAATGTTAAGTTCAATGTAAAAGACTATTGAATAAAGTATCAAAGTTATCTATTTCAAAATTATATTAGGTTAAGTTTTACATAAAAAGTAACATATGTGTCCATATACTTTGATTAATTTATTTGCTAATAACATTTATGTAGTAACAAAAGTTTTTATGAAATTCTGAGCCTTTTCTATAATTTTTGGGTTAATAGCAATTACATCAGCTTTCAAATATACAGCAAAAAATAATAAAAATGTTTTCAAACTCTAATAGAATTTTCTATTTGAATGATGTAAATTTTTATTTTGAGTTTATTTAAAAAAACACAGCACATCATGAAATAATGTGCTGTGGTACAGTTAGGATGATAGTTCAAGATAATAACCAAGAAAATAAGATGATAACCAACAGTGATTAGCATCATTGTCATAAAACAGTCTTCAATAAAAATCTGTTAAATTTCATAATATGTTGTGTTATAAGTAATTTTATTATTTCTGTTTCAAAATTGCACTTAAACACTAAATTCTTGTTAAATTAAATGCTTAATTGAAAATGATTTTGTTTTATTTCAACGGTTGATTTATCAAATTGGAACAATCGTAGGAACAATATTTTTTCTTAATACCATTTAGTAACCACTTCAAAAGCTTTTGAGGTGAAATAAATATTCTAATTTGTGTGAGTGGTCTTTTATAAAATCTTTCAGTACTTAAGTTTTTTATTGATTTTTTAAAAGAAAGCTTATTTTCCATAGTATATTTTATTAAAATTTCATTAGGAACAATTTATTTAAAAAAAAAAATGGTAGTTTTAATATTTAAGAAAATTTTTTGAAATATCCATTTTTTAT